AGGATCTCTCTATATTTCTGATATGAGATATTTTAACTATTTACACTATTTACTTTATTCGGATTGTTGTCCTTCCTTTAACTAACGCTTTTATCCACTGGGCCATGTTTCCTTGGTTGAAGTAATCTAATGACTTGACGCAAAGAGTTGAGACTTCAATATCTGGCCATAGCAGAGGTGAACAAAAAACAGGGAATTAGATAAAACTGGGATATGCAGAAGAGTCATGCACGTGAAAATAGATAATCTAACCCAGTAGATTAAATATAGGACACGTTTCGAAATTTCAACGTATATCCCTTTTAAAAGGCGTGCAAATGCCGTGGATATGACAATGAAGATGGGGACAACAGTTCGAACAATATAAATAAATACATTAATATTCGTAATAATAACATCCGATTCCGCATATGATTCTGTTGGCATCATTTAAATTCGTGGCCATGAGAGATAACTACACTTCTGTTATGGCGAAACACACCTATTCTATAGTTAATAGACTCTCCCACCTAATATAAGTAGGAGTATTAAGAGAAACGAGGGTCAGTCGATGTTGGACGACCGGCTGAACGGTTGAATTCTCTGCCTTCGGGCGGGGAGGAACCCGAACGAGGCTACGCCGAAGGGCGGAGTCTCGTTCAGGGAGGTAAACCGACCCTGAACCCGTTTATACGGGTTCAAAGGGTATATTTTTGGCCGAGCCCATGGGCTCGGAGATCCCACGTTAAACCGGCCTTGTGCCACATGATACCCTCGTGAGGGAGGGGTGACTAAATACTAGTCGATGTCGGATGACAGTAGTTGACAGTTAGTCGAATACGAAAGTAGTCAGCGACCACAACAAAATTACTCTGCGTAATACCTATCATATCAAGTTCCTAACGTTTTGTACGTCGAACCTATTTTAGGACCGATTTAGGACAAATAAAAGCCTCCACTCCGAAATAACTCCACAACAACTTCACAGATAAGAAAAACAACTTATTCTAAACGAACGATATATTCTTCAGCTGTTTTTGCAACCACTGGTTTCAATTAAATATCCGCCATCTTTATTCACTTCAGACTGAAATATAAGAATGCCGGAAGATGGGTTTCATCTGGTTAATATAGTGATCTGCAAAAGAAGACAATGTGTCATCATCCCCTCGTGTTGAACATTCAATCTGATAAGCTGGTTACTGAAAAGCGAAAAGTTTCCTAGTAATCCTAGCAAACTGACTCAATCATAACACACGGCCTCTTCACCACTCTAGGTGATTCTCCTCTTCTGGAAAGAGTGGCAGACACATGAAGACGTGGATTTCTTTTATAATATTTTGTGCTGGTATGAATTTGAATTTGACCCTCATCACCTATGTTGTTATGGCAACTGACAGCAACTCAGCCAATCCTTTCATTTTTTATGCCTATTTAGAGCAAAGTATTGATAGTGGAGTTGCTGATGGCGCTTTCTGATTCTTTCTTGACGTGTTTTTGGAAACTTGTATTTCGGGGTCGTATCGTAACAGAATTATGAAATGTGTGACATAGAAATTCACAGGGGCTTAGCAATAGGGAAAATCCTTTTAAGAAACGCAGCCAATTATCAAGGAATTGAACAATGTCTTTAAAAACAACATTACTTGAAGTAGCAGAAATATGGTTGTAAGGATGGATGCTGAGAATACTGTAGACAGACAAAAGTTTTAAGACCAGAAACTACACAGAAATTGTTCAAAATAATCTGAAAGTTACTTGTCAAATTTTGGGGGGAACATAATGAAGAAAGAGAGACTGGAAAATTTAACACTCACAAGGCTCATCGAAGGCAAGAGAGCGTATTAACATAATCGGCAGTTTGAGCAAAAGAATGCAACAGTACCAGAAAGAAAAAGAAGAATCATAAAGAAGCAAGTATTGCGGCAAACAATAAAGGCAGTGAAGAGCAATGGTCATTCACTTTTTGAAAGACACAGAACTCAGAGACGTTGGGGTTTTTTTACATTACAAGAGAAGATTAGGATTAAGGAGTCAAACTCTTGTCAGTTATCTGACCTCCTATGAGGAGGTGCTAAAAGGATTGTAATCTCATCATTTCTTCAAATCTGATCAAATTATCTAACATTTATTTTTCGGAACGTAATTCTTAGTGTGACTGAGAAATTTTCAGTATCCAATCAGTTTTAAGAAATAAAGCATTTAAGGGAATCAATGTTTTTGTTTTCACTTTCTGCATTTTTGTTTTTACTTTAAATTTAAATAGAAAAGAACTAGTTTTTCTCTTAATAGGTATAAATTTTATTTATTTTCAAAGCTAGTCCTCGGTATGACGATGAAGAATATCCGGCAGCAAGGTCTCTGTTCGGAAGATTGAAGGTTTTGAGTAGCGTGGAATCATCTCTTTATTATTGTTGTTGCCAGGTCCACCCTGAACCCGGATGTTAGCCTCTGTTGGGTTCCCAGCTATGGGCAAAAAAGTGAATCCTCAAACAAAAACAAAGCATTATGAAAGTATAAAAATACATTTTCATAGTAAAAATACCAACAATACATTTCTATTTAAAAATGACCAACAATACAAGTACATTTTAAAAGCAAAATAACCAACAATACATTTTATAGTAAAATTACCAATAATACATTTCATTAGTAGTTGAAGGTATTTGGTTCAAAATATATTTAGTTGAAGGCATATAATTGTGTTCAAAATATTTATATTTTGGTACTAAATAACTCATAGAGGTTGATATGCCGCTAAACAACATCAAACAACCAACATGAAAGAACGCTTTCATGACATTGATCCAAATAATATCTTACAATTTCTTAAAGAAATCAAACTGTATACAAAAATCTAAGTTCAATAAAACAACACAAAACACAGATATCACCGCCGCTAGTAATTATGTCCACACAAACATGTATTTGTACGAAAGTTGTGTATCATCTACCATGTATTCAATTGTGAAAGCAGAATAACATTTACCATATTGTTATTACTTGAAATCTCCCAAGAAAATTAGATTTCTGCATTAAATGACCCATGAGGAGTTGATATGCCCTTAAACAAACAAATCAATCAAAGCATAATTAAAGCAGTTACAAATCTTTATCACGCACTGACCGACTGTGAAATTAATGTAACAGTTATTGAATAGAGAATTGGTGAGCAGAGTACAAATTCTAGCCTAGTCCATTCCATTCAATTATGCCTTATTGCTCTTGTGAAAGACATGAATCCATCTTTTCTATCTATCTGTTAAATAGTAGTGTAGACTAAGCTCTTCAGCCTTGAGTGACAACCAGTTTAGGAAAAAGAAAACTCTAAATTAAAAATATAACATAGAGAAGGTATCTGGAAGACATTTCACTTTCTTTTCCAATAAGGCATAATAATTCAGAGATAATAAAGAAAAAAAAGAATTTTTGGAGAGCCATGATCGTTACGGCTCTGAAGGGATATTCTGAAAGGCCACTCGTTTAAATCGTTTCGTACTAACGCGGGTGTCTCCCCCACCCCAGGGCTCCAATCTTGGTCTTACTCTATTTTTAATTTTCATTAATGACCTTTCTGATAACATCAGCTTTGAAATTGATATCTAAGCTGACGACACAACAATTTACTCTTGCCTCGATAGTAAGGCTTATCAGTCCGACAAGGTCAAAATGGCAGCCGATGTCTAAAACGGCATCAAGTCTGTAATTAACTGGGGCAAAAGATGGCTTGTTCATTTTAACGCCTCCAAAACTAAACTTCTCTCCATTAATCATCTGAAAGACCCGTTACTGCCTTCCATCAGAATGGCTGATGCTATCCACTAGAAAAGTGACTAGTTGCGCCTTCTCTGCTGATATGAAGTGGAAAAACTTTATTGAATCCATTGCTAGGCCAGCTTCTAAAAAGTCGGTTTACAAGGTATGGGCGATACAATTTTTTTTCTCCAGAATTTATCTTTCATATCTATAAGTCTACCATTCATCCATGCTTAGAATATTGTTGCCACATATGGTCCGATGCCTCTGCTATTTACATTGAGCTCCTTGATAAGACCCAAAGAATAATCAGAATAATCAGCAATATTATTGGTCCTGATCTGGCAGTTCAGCTCCAGTTCCTTTCCCACCGCCGTAATCTTGTCTCTCTATGTGTTTTCTATAAATACTTTTATGGTAATTGTTCGAATGTGCTCTTCGCTACGGTACCTAACTTTTATGAATTTAAGCGCGGTACTAGATTGGCGCCAAGATTTCATCAATTTACAATTGTGCTGACTAGATGTAGCCGTAAGTTCTATGCTAACAGTTTCTTCTCTCGTACTTCTTGCTTGTGGAAATGCCTACCAGCTCTTTGCTTTTCCAGTCAACTTTAATCTGCAAAAATCTAAATGCAATGACAATCACTATCTACTGTCCCTTTGATTACTGTCTTCTCTTTCTTCTAATTAATGTTTCTGTTCCTAATTTTTCCACAACCTGTAAACGCTTGGGTTTTAGTGTCATTGCTCTCCTTGCTTGGGTTAGTTCCGATTAGAATAAAGAAAAGCAAAGTCATCTTAACAGTGGTGATTATAAGCGTGTTTTCATTCACCGGTTGAGTTGCTTTCAACATCACGATGACGTAGAACGTTAAACACGATGATGAATACATTGAGAAAATCATTTTAACTGATGTTTCCAAAACACAATCAATTCTAATTTAATCTTTTATTGATTACATTTGATTCTCCAATCCATTAATCCGTTCCATATATCATTTTTTTAATCTATGTCTTTATCTATGTTCGTTAATATTCTTCCCATTGTTCTGGTATTCGTGACCTTTGTAAATTCATTTTTGGAATTTTCTTTCTATTTTAGCTAAAATATTTACATATTAAGTCATACCACGGGTTCAGTTCAACAACTCACATTTAGAAAGATTAATTTCCCAAATAAATGAAGAAACTGACCTTCCTATGAATAGCAGCAGAAATTAAAAAGTGCCAAGGGTTAATTGTTTATGTTAAACTTTTTTATAGAGCTTTTTACATCTATTATCCTATTGTAAAAACCTTTTTTTGTGTTTTCCCTTTAAACTCGCACATCTATCTATCTATCTATCTATCTATCTGCATTTCTATCTATTTATCTATCTATCTGCATTTCTATCTATTTATCTATATATATATATATATCTGCTTTTCTATCTATCTATCTATCTATCTGCATTTCTTTCTATTTTCTGCATTTCTATCTATCTATCTATCTATCTATCTACATTTCTTTTTATCTATCTATCTATAATTTTATCTATCTATCTGCATTTCTTTTTATCTATCTATCTATATTTCTATCTATTTATGTATCTATCGGCATTTCTATTTATCTATCTATTTATCTATCTATATATATATATATTCATTTCTTTCTATCTATCTGCATTTCTATCTATCTATCTATCTATCTGCATTTCTTTTTATCTATCTATCTATCTATCTATCTGCATTTCTTTTTATCTATCTATCTATCTATCTATCTGCATTTCTTTTTATCTATCTATCTATCTATCTGCATTTCTTTTTATCTATCTATCTATCTATCTATCTATCTATCTATCTGCATTTCTTTTTATCTATCTATCTATCTATCTGCATTTCTTTTTATCTATCTATCTATCTATCTATCTATCTATCTATCTATCTATCTATCTATCTGCATTTCTTTTTATCTATCTATCTATCTATCTATCTATGTTTATTCATATTTGTCTGCTTGCCTATCTATCTAATTTGGTTTATTAATATCTATCTATCTATCTATCTATCTATCTATGTTTATTCATATTTGTCTGCTTGCCTATCTATCTAATTTGGTTTATTAATATCTATCTATCTATCTATCTATCTATCTATGGATGTACCTTAGTGTGTTCGCTTTGTATGCCAAATTTTGTATCTGGTTAAATTTGTTATTTTATTTTTTTAGTTATTATTTACATCAAATTTTCTTCTCTGTACAGTTCGCCTTTTCAGTCGACGTAGGCTTTCTCGAAACCTGGGCAGTGATAGTGGCTCATACTGTATTGGCAATAGATTCCCTAGAAAGAAAGAAAGAAAGAAAGAAAGAAGAAAGAAAGAAAGAACAGAACTGAACTGTTATGCAATATCTACCCATTTATATGGCAGCGAATGCTGGACAATCTTGTCACAGATGAAAGCAACAGAAATGGCAAGAATCCCATGGATTCGTACACAACGACAAAATTCTGCGAAAAATTAAAACAAAAAAGACACATCGAATCAAAATACTGACAGATTCCCAAGGCACATAATGAGAAAAGAGCGTTTGGAGAATTTGAAACTAACAGGGCATACTGAAGGCAAGAGGGACACAAAAATCAGTGTACATAATACCTGGCGAGCCTGTGTATATGTTTGGCAGAACAATGATTAGGAAAGTTGTGGAGAACCATGATCAGACACGTTACTTAGAAGAAGCTTACATATTTTGTCCATATCTGGGAGTAGAAGGAATGAATTAATGTTCTGCCTAAGAATATCAGTTCAAATTTAACGCAACAACCATGACTCAAATTTCAATTCAAAAATAGCAATAACTGTCTTTTTTTCTTCGTATTTTTTAATTATTTCACCCCAAGCAAAGCCCTAATACGACTACGATGGTTACAGAGAACGAAAGAGAATGAGAAGAATTTAGTTAAGAGAAGTGAAGAAAAAGGAACAATAAAGGAATAGGATTCAGGAAGACAGAAGATGGCGATTGACGTTGCATTTAAATTTTTGAAGATTACATGTGGCAAGGAAGCAAGAAATCGGAAGCGATTTCCACAGGCGATTGTTGATTCATTCATTTTTTACGGTTTATCAATTCTTTGCAGGTTATTTAAAGCCAGAAAATATTTTTATTGTAAGATTTTTTGAGATAATAATAGATTAGTGATACAAGTGTTATTAATTAACCCATAGTTGGGGGAGAAGAGGTGAATTCATATCCTTTCCAAGGGTATTTGCGCGTAAAGGAATATAACAAAACCAATGGAAATTTGAACTCGGCTCTCCGATTAACAATTCCGAGCTATTATCCATTACACCAACCGCACATCCAAGTTTACAGCACCTGGTATTCCCAAGCGGTTACCCATCTAGGTACTGACCAGCTCGACGTTGCTTAACGTCGGTGATCGTACGGGAACTAGTTTCAACGTGATGTGGCCTAAGTCTCCACAGACAAGAAGTGCAAAAAAAAAGGTACTATTAGAATGGAAAAGCAAGTTGCATTTAGCTAGTTCAACAATCAAGACCTAGTTGACAATCTCGTAGTACTCTGAAATTCATGCAGTCGAGGCACTAAGGTAAAAAAAACTCATCAGAACAGTGGCCATGAAAATATTTTTAAAAAAAACTGAGGGAAGCCACATCATGTCGGTGAAAAATTGACGTCATGTTATTTCGTTTATTTTCTAAAAGAATCATCTCATAGAAATTCAAATATATTCGTCTTTTTTTCTTTCCGCAGTTAATAACGAGCAGAATATTTTAATTTATTTTTAAAAAATCCAGATATGAACAAAAAAAGTTATACAATTTTGATGTTTCTATTTTTCGAGTTAATCCTGAATTATTCAAAAGAAATATTTTCCGATAGAATTTCACATATTTAATCTAAACGTCAGCATAAATTATTAATTCAATTTCGATTCTCTCAAATGAGAAAGAATATTTATCAATGGGTTCAGTGTTTATTGGCAAAAATAAGAATAACTTTCACAATTCTTTTTTTATAAGCAACTTACGATTTTGAACAGCATTGGGCGACTTAATTTTTCCGCAAGAATTATTACTCAAGTTGGTTAAATTTCGGCTGTTGTATTCTCCGGTCTTCTTCAGGTAATATACGTTGAAATTTCGAACCGAGCCCTTGGATCTAATAAACAGAAAAGAACGATATTTTAATGTAATTAATTTAGTAGAATTTGTTAATACGGTGTAAAATAACGTATTTAGTAACTTTTAAATCTAATTTTACGTTCTGTTTTGTTATTCTTTTTTCCTTTTGTGTATGTATGTTTGTTTTAGTTACTTAATCCACACTAGTGTCAATAGTGGAGTTGCTTAAGTTGTAATCTACTTTGATTTCAGTTGTTTATAAACGATTTACTTCAGGGACAACACTCAAAACGGTAAAACACGCAATCGGTACAAGTTTCCCTCAATAATACGATGTCCACGCATTCTCTTCGATTATAATTCTACAAGGCAACAACTAATTCTGAAAGTTTTCCACAGACGACAATCATAAGACAAGTCTTTCCTTTCAACAAACGGACGCTCCTACTTCAGTTTTGATCTCTCAACTCGCGAACGGTTAAATGCTAATCTAAAAGAAGCTGAGCAATATAGGCACCGCCCGTAATGCAATAATAGCTATCAGGGATCGGCTATATCTTCGCTGGTTGTATTTTTGTATAATACGCAGTAAATGTTTTATGAGTATGATTCAAAGGAAAGTGAAACGTTCAAACACACAACGGCAAAAGGTTTGTCTGTTGAAAAAGCATGTGTGTCGGTTGAAAAATTCATTTTCATTTGGAATATGTTGACATGGGGACAGCATAGAATCTTCACACACACACACACACACACACACACACACACGACCTGATTTGCTGAAATTAAGTTTAAGTCTATTCTTAGGTGTAAGGTAATAAAATAATAAAAAAAGTTAATCATTCTTTACATTGTTCGGACTGTTGTTCTCATCTTTATTGTCATATCCATGACATTTCGGCTGTTGTATGCTCCGGTCTTCTTCAGGTAATATACGTTGAAATTTCGAACGGAGCCCTTTATTTAGTTCTCGTTCCACTTGCCATGCCATTTTTGGTTATCTCAGTTTCGGTTATTTCCCTTTAGTAACTTAACTTTCCAAGTATTTGTTCATTTCTGCTGTGGCCAGGTATTGAACTCACAACTCTTTGGATAAGGTCACTGGATTGCTTCAACCAACGCTTGGATTATTTGTCCTTGTGGACAATCTACTCCAGTAGACTAAATAAAGGGTTTGATTTGAAATTCCATGAATATGATGATAAAGATAAGGAGAACAGCATAAATAATGTAAATAGTGTAAATCGTTACAATAGCTCATCTCAGAAATATAAACAAATATTAATCAATCTTGTCTAAACCTTATTCTGACTTCTTTAAACGGAAATCAGTTACACATTTGTCCCTTTTGTTGCTGATTAACCTTTTGAAAAGAACAGAAAAATAATTAGCGGAGTGGTGTTATTGTATTTTTCAAAATTACCAAGGAAAATAAGGTCAGGAAAAGGTATCGGTTTTAACTTTGAGCTTTTCATAGCTTGTCAACATCAATCGAATTGATAACTATAATTGATTTTTAAACGGTATTGCTAACCGTCACATAAATTTTCTGTCAGCCATGTCTGGATCCTCCTGCATGTGTGGCATGATGAAGAGTCCTGTTGCCAGACATGCGGTCTTCCAGCAGCCACTCTCTTAACCAAGGACAGCAGTACCTCTTCAAGCCATTTAATATTGGCCTCCGGGTTGAGTCTGAGGCCCTGTGGGAAGGTGAATGTAGGCATAAGGTCGTTATCGATGTTTATCGCTCTTATTATTTGCGAAAACGGGAAAAATGATTTATTTGTACAAACAAAACACGGATGCTATAGATTGCGATGAGACTGCAAAAATACTACCGTGCAAAATTGGGGGAAAAGTAGAAATTTGTAGAAAGTAGAAAGGCGGTACACTGAAGCGCCCACTTCAACCATGCAGGCTAATCCCAAGGGCTCACCATGATATCCGGAAATTGATGGATAAGCAGCCAAGAGAATCTGGTCTTGGGTATTTCTAGGGTAGTAAAATAGTATGTACTGTGAATGTTTCGATTACAACAAACAAACCTACTTTGATAAAGATTAGCTTACATGACCAACGACCACATTGAAAGGCATTAATGAAATCGATATACAAACTGGCTCTTTTAGAGTTTGCACAGAAGAATCAAACCACAAATGGAACTCGTCCATACAATCCATCGCTAAAGATGATGGGGAAATTGTCTGTTTCGTATACCGCTCTAGTAAGTAACCGACTCCTCCCGCTATCCTCTAATTTTACAAGAACCAAACCAGAAAGAAAATCGAGTAATCTTCTTCCAGTCTCCATAGAGTTCAAAAGCGTCTTCGTGTACTTGTGAGTAATGAATTAGTTTCCAGCCTACAAGCCATTTCTCACGGATGAAACGTCGCAAGTCTATCGCCGCTCTATCGCTATTTCCATGGAAAGTCATTTACTTACCATAGAGAAACCTCCCTTGCCTCCTATCATCATGGCTGATGCTCAATTCCTCGAGAGTGTCTCTCTGCGCCTTCATGGTCTCACGTTTTCCAATGACCTGAGGCGGAACAACTACATTGAATCAACAGCTTCATCTACCGCAAGGAAAATTGGTTTTCTGTGTCAATCTAGAAATTTTTTCTCGTCTAAGTCCATCCTTCAAATCTACAAATCTTCCATTCGTCCTTGCACTGAATACTGTTGCCATATATGGTCTGGTGCCACCGCTGTTCATCTCGAGGTACTCGACAAAATCCAAAGACGGTTATGCCATGATAGATCCTGATCTGGCATCTCGACAGACGTGATGTGGCTTCCCTCTGTCTTTTCTACAAATATTTTTATGGCAACTGCTCTGACGAGCTACTTTCACTGGTGCCACAACTGCATGAATTTAAGCGTTCTACTAGGTTGGCATTTCGGTCCCACTCTTTCACTGTCGAAACAGTTCAATGTAACCGTCTACTCCAACAGCTTCTTCTCTCGCACTTCCCGACACTGGAACACCCTTCCTCTTTCTTGCTTTCCTGATAACTACAATTTTCAAATATTCAAATGTAATGTCAATCGACATCTTATGCCTTCATCTTGATCCCCGTCCTTCTCTTTATCCTTTCCTCAAAAACCCCTCTTTACTCTTACTCTCACTAGACCTTGCATATTCATGGCACTCCCACCTTGCTTGAGGTGGAATGCTTATAAAGAAGTGCTCAGACGAACTACGTTCCTTAGTTCCACTAGTTCTAATTTTCACGGCTAAGACCCGCCATGCCACACACATTGTAGCGAACCATACTCATTACCTTCGTATTCCATTGGTAAACTCCATACAAGCAACTTCTTCCCATAAACGGCAGCTTTGCGGAATCGACTCCCAAGAGGATGCTTCCCCGACCACTACACTCTTAACCTGGTCAAGTCTAGGGTTAACTGTTATCTTCCTTACATTTCCGCATAAACTATGCCTCTTACTCTATAACCCACTACATCGAGTGGCTCCCGGGCCTTGTACAGGGTGAACATTATTGTAGGAAAAGTACAAATTTGTGGATCTGTATACTGTGGTCAGCGGAGACAAGAATCAACCTATTTTGGTTTGACAGTAACCGAAGTGTTTGAAAGCGCCATATTGAGATGTACAAGCTTTTGGGCCCCAGTAATTAAGCATGGTGGTAGAAACATCATGACTTTGAATTTATCAGTTGTAATGGCACGTGTGAGCTACATTTCATCGGTGAACTCATGAACGGTGAACTTACGACAAAATATTTAAAATCAAACTCTATGTTCCAGAATAATAATGTCAAAGTGGTGGTAGCACCTGTTAGGGCCCCAGCTATTGGCAAACAGTGACCCCCCCCAACAAAAACAAAACACTATGAAAGTATAAAAATATATATTTATAAAAAAATTACCAACAATACATATTTAAAATAAACTTACCAACACTACATTTTATAGCAAAAGGATCAGCAATACATTTTATCTGTAGTTGAAGGCATGAAATTGCATTCAAAATATATTTAGTTGAAGCCATATAATGGTATTCAAAATATTTAAATTTCAGCACTAAATGACCCATAGAAGTTGAAATGGCGCTAAACAAAATCAATCAACCAAATCAGAATAATCAAAAGGTGATAGTGATCGATTGATCCAACATTTCATTTTCTATGAGTCATGTCCCTTCAGGATATGGCCAATGATGGCTCACCAGAATTTCCTATCCTTTGTAGCTCCTAACACAATTTCTCTTTTTGACTATTCAACCCACTCCCTATTTATCATCCATTTGCAAAAGGTAAGTTACTCGCTTTTTACTTCCGCCTCTCTTACGTTCAATA